CTCATTCAGTTTCTCATTTCTGTATCTTTTGCCTAGCTCTCCTCTATAAGAGTATGTAACAGCCCAAATTTGGAGCCTCCAGACTGCAATCAAACCAATTCAGCACAGCCATGTGCAATTCAAGTGGTGTGAATGAAGCTGAGTTTCTGAGCCATCATGTGGATCTTCAACGTGGTGGGGGAAGCGTGTGACTGTCACCTCGGTGGCAACCACAGCCCCAGAACAGGCCACACACAGCGTGGTTGTGAAGGGGAGAGGAGTTGGGAATTGTTCCTGCCACGGGCAGGGGTGCTGACTGTAACTCTGGGGGTGTGCCAGCCTCCCTGCTCTTGGGGTGAGCAAGAGCTCCTGCCACAGAGAGAATCCCCTTCTTCAGTGCACAGCCTTTACATGCAATGGTTGCAGGTGCACAATATAATTATATTTAAAAAGAAAAATAATCACTTGAGAAAAACTGGAAAGAATTTTGAAGTGAGTCTTCTATGTTACATCCCTGTGCCTGGAAAGCTCCTGTAGTGCAACCAACATCCAAGCCAAACAGTTTTGTCACAGTGCCTAACACTATTTTTAAAGCCATGTTCATTTAAAGACTTACAGAACTCTTCCTTGCTCTTTCTAATCCTGGGTAAAATAACCACAAATTATTTTAAAGCACGGTATTTCACCTTTGAATGCTCATGGAATTAGACAGGTAACAGTTTCAAACACATTTCCCCATGAACAGAGTGCTGAATAAGCATCATCAGAGCTGTCTACTGACAACTATGACAACATTAAGTCAGCAAGAATTGAAGTGAGAGCCCCAACTCACCTTGCACAACTGCTGAATGGCCTCCATTCCCTGAGGAATAGAAACCCCATCCTGCAACTTGGCAAGTGACACATTCAACCCACCATTAAAAGTATCTTGTGTTAATTATCATTCCTTTAGATGATTTAACTGCTACAGGTTTGTTTTAAAGGTATGTGGTTTTTAATCAAATTTCTTTAGAAGTGAGGTGAGGAAGGAGAAAGTATTGGAAAGAGGGTCTGAGCATGGAGTCATCCTGCAGAGGGGAAGGAGAAGAACTGCAGTGCTCTTTGAGAACAGCTGCAGATCCCCTGGGATTTGTTTTCCAATTAGTTACAAAGCCTATTAACAAATTCTATTTAGAGGGTTTTCCATTTAAGCGAGATTTTCCTAAATTAGTAGCCATCAGTTCTTATTTGGATAGTGAATCTGTCAAATTCCATGGATTATATTAGTGAACAGCCATCCTGCAGAAAATGGACAGCATGATAATATGGCAGAGTCATAATCAGAAAAAAAAAGGAGCTTGCTTTAAAGAGTAACATATCTCTATTTTTCCTATCAAAACACCTTGCTCTGTGTTTAGTAGTAGTTGTTTTTTGAACTTCAGTTTGATCTTCCAGTAAAGGGAAATTAATCTAGAGGGGAGCATTGACAGAAAGTTCTTAAAAAGCACTGAGAAAGTGGATGGTGTCTTTTTGTCAAAGGGAACAAAGCAAATGCAAATACTAAAAAGAACATTTAAACCTGAGGAAAATAATCTCTATTACCTTAAATAACTCAGACTCAGCAGCAGAAAATGTCACTGAGAAGACAAACTGGATGCTTACACAGATAAAGGTATTTGTTATAATTCATGGAAAGCTTAAAATTGATTTCACCCCACATTTCTATGACTTGTTCAACCTCTGTTTAGGCAGGGTAGTGACCTCACAGATGCCTCCTGTGTCCTGTGCCCCTGTGCTTCAGCTGAGGCTTTTGGGATTGGCCTTTTGTTGTGAGTGTGACTGGATCAGGAGGAAAATGGGCTGGAACCCAACTGCTGCTAATTGCAGCTCATTTCTCAACAGTGCTGCCAGCTCTGCCATAAAACAGGACTATTCCCAAGGATTGTGAGTGATGGCTTGAGTCTGGCTCAGTGGGATCTTTCCATTAACATCTGGCTTTCCATAAAAGAATGGCTCAGCTTTCCCAGGCAGCCCCTCTGAGCACATCCATCCCCTGCACACAACCACACACACTCAGTGATTATTTTGTTGTTGCAAGGCCAGTGAAACCCTCATTGAGCATTTTCTTCTGGAATTTCCTCCTCAAAAACATCATCTGGGATATTCTCAAAGAGCTAAAGGTGTACACAATAGCTTACTGTAACATTTATCTACTGCTTAGGTAAGAAAAATTCACAATCCGAGTGATGCAGGATGCCTTTAACCAACCTTGTCCTTTTTTTAATTTAAAGATGAGATTGTGTCCTACAGGGATAATCTTCCCAGGTTTCAATACACCAAATTATTTACCAGGAATTGTAGCACCATTTATCAGAGAAGTTGCTTTTGATCTTTGCAATGGTATTAAGGAATCTCTTTCCTAGAAGTGAGCAGTGACATCTGAACCCTTGCTCTTCCCAGCACACAAGCACTGACAGTGCTGAAGTGCCTGTGCAATCCTCACACAGCAGCAGCAGGTGTTCCCTGTATCCTTATCACCATCCTGTCCATCACATTTGGGTTGTTATTAAACATAAACGTTTTGGATATCTCTCCAAGTGCAGCAGGAACGGGGCACTAGAGGGAGCCCCAGCCTGAAACCAGACCCCGAGATTTCCTTCTCTTTGGGATGGCTTCTTACTTTGATTAACTTCTCTGCACATTTGAATAATAACATTTTCCAATATTCTTTTGCAGCTGCAAACTCTGGAATTGCCAGCATTGCCCATTTCTGCTGACAGCTCCTATTATTGTATGGGTCCAGGATTCAGATTTAGCCCATTACATAAATGTTAATTAAAAAAAAATAAAAAAGCCAACCCAAACACTATAGATATCTTAGTTTTAGAAAAACTGCCTGAAAAGCTTCAGTGAAGTTTGAAAAATCCTCCTGATATTAAACTTTTTCCTTTATTGAGATTAAATCCTCCTTTTAATCAGTAAACCTGCAGCTACGTATCAGGAATTAAAGCTAATATTTAGCCTTTGAATAAATAAGAGACATTTTGGGAATAAAGTGCCTCTTGGGGAACTCTGGGAAAAAAAGACAAGATTATTGCTGTTGGTATACTCTTTGCTGGCAATTGCTATAACTAAAGCAAAAGTGGCAGAAGCAGCTTTTTTATTTTTAGAAAGGCATTCACAGTGATTTATTAAGCCTCTCTGGGGAAGACAAGAGCTATCCTCTCCATATATTTACTTGAGGAAGAATTTCTTTTCAAGGCAAAAAATTAATAATTTCTAAACAAGAAGAGTCAGGCTTCTGTAGAAACACCAGGACTATTTTTGGAAGAAAATACTTCAAAAATCATCTACAAAGAACCCAACTGCATTAAACATTGCTTTACTCTATTTAATTCACAAAATTGCTCAGGAGCCCCAGCAGTGGAGCAGACAACCCTACTTTATCTATACTTCATCATTTCTTATCTTTATTTCCTGTATAGTTCTTTTAAATCTAATGAGAGCAGAGTTATAAAAATTCAAAGTTAATTTACATGTGATGGAAAAACATTGCTCAGAACAGCAAGGTTTGAATAGTGCTAAACTCCTGTGTTCACCCCTTCCCAAACAGATCCACCACAAAATAAAATAAAATATTCCTCCATTTCTTATTGACCTAAACTTGCTTGACCAAAATGGTATCTCATAAGAAAAAACTACAGTTATGCTCCCTTCTCCCACAAAGGGCCACTTCCTCCACCAGCAAAGACAGCTGTCCATATTAGCTGTTACTCTCACTGCATTTCCTCAACAAACAAGCATCTTACCTTGACATTTTCTCCTCTCCCTTGCTGATGTTAGATACTTTCTCAAACACTTAGATCTCCATCCTGTAGCACGGATCTCCTCGGGATGTGCAGTTTCCTGGCTTTCACAGCACTCCAGTGTTTGAGGTGTCCATTCTTCTCAGCACCCTCTGCCTCCAAACATTTATTTCCCGAGCACTTATTTTCTCCTTTGCCAAATTTTCTTCACTGCATCACTTTCAATGATTTCTTAACTTCTCCTTTAAAGCAAACCAGGAAACCACCCAGCCACCCTTATCCCTCTCCTCACACTTTTCCTCTCCTCTCATGTTATTCTTCCTTTGCCCAAGGAAATATCTTCAGTTACTGCCAGCTGAGTTCCATATAATTTCCACTTCTCCTACCTCACAAATTTCTCTTTATCTCTTTCAGATGTTTTAGTTTTCCTTTCTCTCTGTGTTTTATATCCCCTCCCCATGTCCCTTCAGCCTGCCTGCACTGTGAATCAGGACATCAGAATTGTGCTAATGTTCTTTTTTATTTAGTGTGGGGAATTCCTTTTGTTGATGTCAGCAAAGTTTGTGCAGCTTGTGTGATGAATGTGTATTTTTATTGTCAACAGGGTAATGAAGCCTCCAGTACCCTCATCCTCCTGATTTAGAATTCTTCCCAGCATTCTGTATTCCCCAATGGAGCCTCTCAGCATCTGCCATCCTTGGCAAGAACTGCCACTGAGCAAACAGCTCTTTCCACTGCTCCACCTTCCTTCCTTCACTTTCTCTTCCCCACTGCCATCCAAAAATCTGTGGAGGAAGGGTAAAGCCCATAAAACAGCTTGAAAAGCCTTCCCAAATAATTACTCCTAGGAAACAAAGCACAGGAGTTTTTAAATTCACGTTTCCAAAATCCAGTGGAAATTAAGGTGTACCTGCTGCTATTGCAAAGAAGGCAAACTCACAGATCTATCAATGAAATACAACTATTTCACCAGCATTACAGCCCCAAGCACAGAGAATGGGAATTGACATTATACAACTGAGGGAGAGATAATTTTTGCCTTACATATGCGTGGGAAATGCAAGAACCAAGAGACACAGAGTTTTAAAGTCCCCAGTGCTCACTGCAAGAAATAATTGTGTTTGTACCTTCACAAACACTGTAAGAAAGAATGCAAATACTGCAAAGGCAGCAATGGGGCTGTAGTTACAAGGTGATAAACCAATTGCTGCACAAAGAAAAACCACAAAACTACTTAAACAACCAAATATTTTAATTAGAAAGCAACAAACATGCAAACAGCAGGTATAGAAATTTATTTGAACCAACGTTTTTACTATCATGAAAGTTACTTTAAAACATTGATCCAAGCTCCCACATTTGCTGTTTAAGGAAAATATTGCACTTGGCATCTTCTAGCACCCCTCATACATGGCAAAACATTTTAAAAACATTTTTGCTTTTTTTAACTTGCACACTCTCCCCAAGTCATGCACACAGTCATTCAAAAAAACAAAAGGTTAGGTTATCCAAAAGCAATACCTCAGAATTGCACTAAAGCTCTGTAAGGAAAAATATAATTAATGTTTTATACAAATTTATTGACTTCCAGGTGCTCACACACAATTATTGGTTACTCTTCATCTTCATTTTCGTTCTCCTGGCCAGATCCTTCTGATCTGTCACCTTCCAATCGGTCTGCAAAACACAGATTTAGTAAAAAGAACTTGCAAAATTTTCTTTTTGTGGTAAATACTTATTACATGCTGTCTCCAATGGCTATTACACAATGGGATATGGCTGTGAGTTTTATGGCAGAAGAAAGTCTGTGTGGACTTACAGCAGAAAATGGTTAGAAATGTTACCACAAGAAAGGAGAAAAGGAGAAATGCCCTAAAGGATGTCCAGGCATGAAAGCAAAATCTGTGTACAAAAGGAAAAACCTTGTAGCTGCTGACTAGCTGTCAGCACAGAAAAGATGAATGCAAGCATAACATTAAAATGAGATGGTGACTACAAGGGACAGAAGTGCTGTTCTGGGGAGCTGAAACTACAATAGCTACAGTTAGAAATGTGAATAGTCCAGAAACTGGGGGATCACTGCCTGTCACTTCAGTACATCAGAAAAGAGCCTTTGGATGTAAGCATTTAGAGAAAGGCAAATACAGAAATGTATGAGGGAACATGACTGGCTCAAGACCAATCACTCAAGCAACAAGCAGTGAGGTTTAGAAACACTCCACTCAGCTGTAACAGATTTTTGCTGAAATTGTTGTAACTGAAGTGTTGGGCAGTTCTCTTAGCACTTTGCTCCAAAGAGAAAATGACAACTGAAGGAAACACAGGAGCATGGAGGTGTAGCACTGGGCTGGACACATGGCACCCTCCTGCCTCCCAGAGCAGCCAGAGGTGAGAGAGGAGCAGCAGCTAGCAGCAGGCACAGCTTCCTTTCCTCCTCACCACTGCAAGCCAGAGCCCCCATATTCAGCATCTCCTGTCACCTTCACCTTTAAGTCAGGTCTGTTAGGTTTTTGCCCCATATGCCACGCCAGCCTCTCAAAACTTAATCTCTCTGTTTTCTACAGTGTGTGATGTCTCTACTCTGTCCTCCATCTTCAGGGTCAGTCCACTGCACTCAGCTTCTCCAGCACCAACAACCAGTTCCCAGTGATGATTTCTCCATGCAACCCTCTCGTCACCAGTTTCAGCCCCACAGGAGCTGGAGGGACATCCTGCTGCCCTGGGAACAGCTGCCAGCAGCCTCAGCAATGCCTCTCCCAGTCCTGAATCTTCATATCCTCCTTCAATCCTAGACAGCACCCAGCCCACAGCCACAGCCAGTTTATTTTACAATTCATCCCAGTCCTCCCCAATAGCTTTCCCATCACACAGCACTCACTGAAAAGACCATTCCTGAAGAGAGCATTTTTCAACATCCAAAAATATATTTTGCTCTTTGTTTTGAGATAAAAAATAATGGCTGCAAAGATTTTGCAAATCTCACACCAAAGAAGCAATGCCTAAATACTTCTATTAACCTTGAATCTTCTCACCAACCCCAAGAACAGCCAGAGACAGCTGAAGGTTTTGATGATTTCCCAGTCAAGCTGCTATTTCAGTGTTGTGGACAAGCTCTTCAGAAGTCTCTCACCTGCTCTTATATGATTCAATGAAGCCAACATTCGGAGCATGAAGGAAGCTGGGACAGTGATGGTGTTTCTGGTCTCTTCCAGCATTAATTCATTACGAGTTATAACCTGGAGGCAGGGAATGAAAAAGCTAGCATCAGAAATAAACATGGAATTATACTGCATTGATAGGGGCTTGTAGATACAAAGTTACTGTACAAAAGCCATTTTACAGAGTCCAAAATTACCATAAGAAAGCAATATTTTAATAATTGTTATTGAACACTGTTGTCTGGGGTAAGAAAAGTCAGACAGTGGACTCTGCCTGCAGGTATCCAATTATCTGTCTAAAGAATATTCCAGTAAGATCATGGTTCTATTGTCCACATGCATGGTAGATACTAAGATGAGTGACTAAGAAAAACTTTGGAAATCTTTCATGAAGCAGATTGATGAGAGAAAGTGCTGTTTCCAGATGGCAACTGTTGTAGAGAACAAAGTTCTAGCACCAGTGCTGGCCAAGAATGTGGGAAGGAAAAGAGATGAGGTTACCCTCAACTCCTACCTTCATGCTGCTTGAAACGTTTGGAGAAAATCCAAGGAACACAAGCCATTTTCTATCCCACTTCAGGAACATTCTTTAGCTCCATAATTCTTTGTAAACAGAGCTACAGCTTGCCTCTAAATGACTTGAAAGAGCCAGTTCCTACTGTCTCATTTTCAAGGAAGAAAAATCCACTAATGAATACTTTTGTCTCTCTTCCCTCATTCCTTCCTCATGGTACATCTTTATCATCCTTCTTTCTTCCTCCATAAATTTTAATCCCACACTGTAGGTTGTCCCAGCTTTTACACTATATTCTTTTGCTATCATTAATCACAAAAATTTAAGTAGAGACAAGTTCTGACCTTTCTTCAGTCTTTGCTCCCAGATCAGCTGCTCTAAGACAGGGAAATAATGCAATTCTTGTTCTCCCTGAGAGACTCTTCAAGCCTGTTCCTCTTGTGAAGAACATGTTGTTGCAAATGTTTGCAGTACCCTTCTCCCTTCCCAATCAAAGCACCTTTTTTCTGTCATTCTCACCTGTTTCCCAGGCACTTGGCACAGCTGATCCCTCCCTAACAGAAGCAAACTGAGAAGGCAGCAGGCTGCTCTTTATTCCTCTTTCACCCCCTATTTCTCCAGGATATCATCAATAACATTCCTGACAACCTGCTGCTGAGGCTTTTTCTCCATTCAGAGGTTTATTCTCATCCCTACTGTATTTTTCTATTTTCTAAGGTCATGGCCTCTCTCAATTTTAAATACATTTCTGTATCTATACGGAATTTTTCTCAAACACAGTGTTTTCTCCCCAGACTTCCCCCTTCTATGAAAATTCAATTCAGGCATGTTGGACACTTATTCCAGCCAAACCTAACATAGTGAGAACTATTTTATTGCTATGAACATCTCCTGTCCCCTAAATAGGTATTTCAATAGAGGGAATAAATTAAAAAACAAAAAACCATGTAAAATTACAAACGGCACTGCAGTCAATTATTCTGAAAGTACTACATTGTTTAATTAAAGAAAACATATAAATATCTAAATAATTTGCGATTATTAGAAATAAAGGGAGGGAACTAAAGTACAAGAATTACTTTTAGCATGCATTTATGTTTAGCAATACTTCTAAACCCCAAAGGCTCCAAAGCATGTCACGACTAAAGCTGTCACACAATATGCAAGGAAGTGTCACTTCACTCAGTGCTAAAATAATGGGAAAGGTTCAAAACTCACAAGTGGATGGTTTGGGGTTTTTTCAAGGGATGTGGGGTGGTGGCTAAGGACTGTGTGTTTCTGTTGGTTTAAAATATATTTAGCACTGCTACAGAGAAATAATGATTAAAAACCCCCCAGTCTATTCTATCCATGCTACCCAAGAGATGTCAAAAAAAAGGCCCCCAAACTGACCATCCTATAACCAAATCTGTCCTATAATATTATTTACAGAAAGCCATTTAACACATTGATACACTGTGTTATGTAAATCACTCAAATATGATTATTCAGCAGTCAGCTATATGGTCACCCCAGGCCACTTGCTATATCCAGTTATTGCTCTGAGGGCAACATGAAAACAATGAGTTACATAACTTCACATTGGACTTTTATAACTGATTGGGCTTGCAATATTTGCTTTATTCCATGAAGTTCCCATGTGCAATTTTAACCTTTAAGTCCCTTTTATGCCACTGACTATTTAATAGAATTGATTTTTGCACTCCCTTTTGTTCTGCATAGCCTTGTATTTCCTTCATCTTCCCTTCATTTATTTGTTTAGAGACAAGCACTATGTTCATTTATTAATTCCTGCCAGTTTTTCTTCTATATCTGAGTGTTCACACTTCTTCCAACTCCTTTCATGTACATAATAGCAGATCATGTTATGTAATTTCTGGGAGAGCTGACGAAATGCAGAGTGCCAAGGATATGAAAATCAGCTGCTCTGAAGGGCAGCCTTTTATTTGTAGCTCATTTGTGGAACATTAAGTAACTCTGCTAATTCAATATCAGTAATTTGTACCAAAGGGTTTAATAGAATTAAAGATAGAACATTACCATGAAAAAGAAGATAAGGTTCTTACCTCGTCTGCAAGTTTTCTGTTAAAAATCTTGGATTCTTCCAGTGGTGACCAAATTTTTATATCATAATCAATACCCGAAGAGGCCAGAACTAGAAGTAACAGTAATTTTAAATTAAATGTGTTATGTGTTCATTGGTATTTTCTCCCCTTTAAATGGAAGAAAAATACTTCACTTGAAGCATTTATTTGCAAATGTCAGATCTCATGCTGAACAGAGCTTGTAATTACCAAGTCTCCACATGAGATCTGCTCCACAGATTATATGGTTTTGAATGTATCTATATATAAATGAAGAAAACAAATGCAAACATCAAGAGCCCCCTGTTTCAGATTTTAAAAATAGAATCAAAAAGTAAGAGCAACCCCAGCCCCTACTAATCCATTTCTGCTGATAAGTACATGCATTAATAACAAAGCTTTAGGATTTGTAGACCAAGGTACAAAGGCAGAACCAAGATAATTTCAAAAGTACCTTTCATAATGTCAGTGAATTTCATATAAATTTATTTGCTATTTAAATATAAGGATGCAATGGATGCTGTTATAAATAAAGGATGAAATCTATGAAAAGTTGCAGAACATTCTCTAGATCATTGCACAAAAACCACTGTAGGAATTAAAATTCCATAGAAAGGTTTCAGTAACTGGGAAGCTGAACAAGATTAACTATCCTAGAAGGAGGATGAGCTCTCTTAATGACACCTTCAGGGTGTGACAGGGAGACAGCCACACTCCAACAAGACATCAGCAAAGCTACAGAGCACTTTGAAAGGTGCTTCCAAAGGGAGTATCCTACTCAGAACATTTACAAGAACTCAATTTCAATAAAAAAGTTAAAAGTTCAAGGCTTACTCTATGTAGGACAGTATTCCATGTGCCCCCAAACAGTTTGGAAAAAAACCCAGCCTCTTCTAGTATTATTAGAACAACTTTACTTGCTCATTTACTAATAGCTGACTCTTACTATACAGCCAGGTAAGCTGTGAAAAAAGAAATAACACAAATACTTTCTCTGACTGTGTCAGAGGCTGGTTCATGCTACATGTGATTCCTTCTACTGCTTTGGTCCATCTTTTCTATGAAGGATTTCCTCTAAACACAAATTATTAGAATTTTTATTAATTTTATTAATTCTTCTAATCTCACAATGCCAGTGAGAGGGAGACACCCACTTCCACTGCATTTTTTGCATAGAGCCAAGTAGAGAGCAGATCCCAACATGATTTCCAGGTATTGCTGGCATTTCAGCAACCCCATATTTCCCTCATTAGTGTCATAGAAAACATGTTATGTGTTAAGGGCAGCAGAAGATGAGATTCTTCTTACTACATCTGGCAGTATTTCTAGAAATTCTGTGCCAGGAGGAGCTTGATTTCAATATATTTTTGAGTAAGGAGGGATTTAAGGGCCAAAGGTCGTTAGTAAGAAGCAAAATTAAAAGCAATATTATCTGAATTACATGGGGAAACACACACAGCTCACGAACAATCATTGCAATGCTCTGTTGAGACAGAGTTTAAAGACTGAGCTTAAAGATGCTCTAGTGCAGATAAGCTGGACATGCAGAGTGTGAGAATGCTGCTCTTACTGGGGTCGAAGGGGTGAGGCTGCAGACAGTTCACCACGTGGTTGTCAGCCTCCAGCAGCATGAGGTGCTCAGCAGTGTGGCGGTCCCAGATGAAAATGTGCCCGCAGTCTGAGCCACTCATGACAAAGTTGGATCCCCAAAAGTTGGCTTCCTTTATCTGCAAGAAAAACAAAACTTTGTAAGACCCAGCCGGTGTCTGCACTAACAGCGCTGCTGATGGAAAGTTCAGCCCATGCAGAAATGAGATTTAAGAAATTTTAAAGGAAACATTTAAAGAAGAGTGATTTAAAAAATGAAAGTTCAGGAAAAAAAAAAAAGAGAGCAGTTGGGGCAGACTGAAGAGTTTGAAAATAAACATCAGCAGATCTGTCACTTTCTGAAGCCACAGAAATGATACTGGAGACAGGGGTATGCAATGGAGTTTTTAGGAAGAGTTTGGCTAAGTTAAAGTTTGTGACAGGCTAATCCCTGGGGGGGGGAATTTTCCATTACGGAGAAACAGGAGACAAGACAGAAGCTTATGAAACCTTCTTCAGAAATCACTTGTGATTTTATTTGGACCTCAAAATAACCATTGTTAAACGATATAAATTTGCTATGCTGTGTCCTCTACAGGTGAGAGGTGTCATGGGGTGGCAGAGGGAGAAGAGATACTGCTTCAATGACAGTCAGAAAACTCAGTCACAAGATGTGAGCTGAGAGCTCCACAACAGCCTAGTGTTTGTGCTGCAGGAAAAAGCCTGGAAGGTTGAAGTGTAGCCTTGTGTGTAGAATTGTAATTTTGAGAGCCAGCAGTACCTCTTACAAACTCTTTTAATCAACATACAAGGGGCAAGAGAGGTACCTGTGCAAGCAGGAGTTTCCTGTGCAGCAGCTTGTGGAGTTCCCACAGACCATTTCCCATGCTGGAAGTTCACTCTGGCATTTCAGAGTAACTCCAGCATAAGGGACAGAATTCTGAGTGTGAGATTATTTACACGGAATCCTGCTATGGATTATTTTCCAGGTAAGGCTCTAAAGAGGGCCATGCCTGGATCCTTATCTTTCTTTTGGCACACTTCTCTCAGACAAAGCCCTGAAGAGAAGGGCAGAGACATTGCCTTGCTCTGTGCTCTGCCTCAGTTACCTTGATAGGAGATTCATTGGAAAGTTGAACCCTTATGCTGATAGAAATATGTGCTTTATTTCCAGTGTAAGTATGCCCAGTTTTAAATTTCAGGCTTGGTAGATCTTTGTCTATAGAATATGTCCCAATGACGACAGTCAGTGCAATAAAGTCATCCTGATGTCTAAAAATAAACCAGAGAAGCTGCATTCCTGTAATTAATTCCAATGTATTAATCTTTCAGCAGCTTTTGTCTTATAGCTCTTTTTAATACATATTTTTTCATTATCCTGTTACATCTAGATTATCCCCAATAAGAAAAAACTTTTAATTTTAGATTTTAATTTTCAATTATGACCTCTTCCTGTATCCTTTGTATTCTCTTACTCATACTTCCCAATACTCATAAAATCTAATTTTAGCACCACAGAAATGAACAGAATTGAAATTCACATTTAAAAATTTCGGTTTTTGAAACTTTCTAAAAGTCACTGTTTTAAAAGAAGGACTATAAAAAATATAAGATTATCAAATTAAGTTTCTGAAAGTAAGGAAGAATCAGAATTATTCAATTTGTCTGCATAACCTTAATTCACTATATATACATATACACACATCCATATATACGTATATATACATAAAAATTATATATATATATAAAAAACATAAAATATAATATTATTATATTATATTACTTATATATATATATAAATGATTCATGTAATTGAGAACAGAACCTTATCCCTGGGCTGCTCAGGTGTGTAGGAAACAAAGCTTTTTTTAAGCTGTCTCCTCTATAAATTTGAAAGGGAAATATCATTAGCTCTTGCTTTGCAGGAACGAGGGTATTACTCAAACCAGCAGATTAAAACGAAGTTGGCAACCATAGAGACCAACAGGGAAAATAAAATTACATTTTCTTTCATTCTGTGCATTCCTTGCCATAGGTGCTTGTGTGAAACAAAAGCAAAAAGACCAACCCACATCCCCAAGAAACCAAACAACAAAATCTGTTAAATAATCTATAAAATAACAGCTATGCAGACAGAGAGTGAATTAAGACTTAGATGAACTCACTTTTAGTATCTTTTAACCACAAAAAGCCTGATGCCAGGACTTTTAAACTAATGGGGTTTTGAGCAATTAAAATCGATTTCTGAAATACAGTGCAAAACTCCTTGTCATTAATCAAAGTTTGTTCTAAACCCTGCTGTTTATGTAGGCTGAAATATATATTTACTGAAGCATTTTCCCCAGTGCAATCAAAGCTATTCACACAACCCCTAGAAAATGGCTTTTGGGGGGTAAAGGGACTATTCCTCACATCAGCTGCAAAATAACACACCAGCTACTTCTGCAAAATACCACTTAGAACTCAGAACTTCACATCTTCGAAATATTTCAAAAATCAAAAGAAGAAATAGCAAGGAAAGCAGATCTGTTTTTCATGCACCATTGCTTTACAAACACAATAACTGCATTTTTCTTAAAATAGAGCATTTTGTATGAAAAAGATGAGGCATCTAGTAGCTAAATTATAATTTAATAACTAGCACTAGTTCCTTTTTTTACATCCAGACATGTCAAGGTTCTTCAAAACTATGATTTAATCCTCGCTTTCCCTTCCAAGCTCTTCAAAGTTAAAGATTAAATAATAATTTTGAACAGCTTGGAAGGGAAGGCGAGGATTAAATCATAATTTGGAAGGCAGGCACATTTTATGCCACCTAAACTGAGAGAGAAAATGAAAGAAAAGAAAAATACCCCAAATTTTAAGGGATTTTAAAGGGGAGAGAGTCTTAAACTCAGGGGTATGGAAACGCCTTTCACAATGACGTGAGTCACTGTCATTTCAATTTTCATTCAGAGCAAATTCTGTGCCTTTCAAGTGAAGAAGGGACGTTGAGATGCTTACAGTGCACCCCAATACCCTTTTTGGCAAGCACAGCAGGCTGAGTAAAGCCACAAAGCCCCCAGAGCCCCCAGAGTTTGTACCATGGTCCGGGAGTTGCGGTGACCTTTATAAACCATCTTTATCAAGGGACGCCTGATATTGAGCGTTTCCAGCTCCTCCATCTCCTTCCTCTCCTTCCTCCTCCTGAAGAGCTCCTGGATGCGGGCGACGGCGGATCGTCTGTGAATTCCAGAGAGAGCAGCACTGAGATTCCCTCCCCACACACTGCAAGGGGCTCTCAAAAATCAGCATTAGGCACTCCAACACATTCTCCATGAGTTTGACACAGACATCAACATAATCCCAACTGTAAAATTACACACTTGAATTTTTTCCATCCTGGCTTACAACGAGAATAGCATGCAAGACAGTGGAATGTCAAGTGATGCCAGGTTTTATTCCCCCTCTCTAGAACTAACTTCAGCTGCTGGCAAAATTCACATGCTATTTTATTTTCATCCTCCACCCATACTGAGGTAGCAAAATTCTGAAGTGAAAAAGAAAAAATATCTATGCCAGAACAGAAGTTTCTAAATTTTAAAAAGCCATTAAGGATCTAATGTGTCTCTCAGTGTGATTTGTTTTTTCATGAGATTTTGTCCAATTTATTTCTCGTCTATGACAAGACTCAAGATTTAGACAGCTTTTAAAAAGTTCCTACTAAGGCAAAAGATGATTTGAGATCAATTACTGGAGCACCTATCTCATATGGCAGCAGTAAGATTTACAGCTGGAGATTTCCTAAAATAACAGAGGAAGAAAAAAAGCCAAATTTTGTAATTTGTTTTGTGAATGCTTCATTCTGGGAACTTATTTTTTACTAATCTGTGAAAAGACCTTGATGTCAAATTTTTCCTGTTTAGCTCTTCATTTTGCAGATCCCCATAATTCCATCTATGAGCAGACAATCACATCTCAGTTCTTTTTCTTCTGTCATTCCTAGTCATTATTAGCTTTGAGGTCCTGAACACAGTCCAAGGGAAATGTCACTCTCAAGAAGAAACAGGTACAGATTTTAGCAGAATGCAAGGAGTGAAACTATTAGAGCAATTTATATGATCCTAAAAATTAAACTGATCCTCAATACACTGCTGCAGAAAGTAACCTGAATTTGTTTTTAAATGATGTTTTCCAGTGTTTTAGTCACTGATCCTGGAGGCTCCAGCTTCAAGTCCTTTACTCCAGAAAAAAATCCCACCAGATCTATCTCAGCTAATTCTCTTAGCCAGTGATCTGCTCAGATTTTTGTCCAATTTTTGCCACAAGAGAAAGTTGCACCAAAAAGTTAAGGTGAAATAAATGTTACGCTACAGCTAAGCAAAGAAGGAAAAGGAATGTAGTCGTTAATGCAAATTTATTTACTATCAAAACAAATAAACCAACGAACCACACACTGTTTTACTAAGACAGATCACCTAATACAGCTAAGCTTTCAAAATAAATTTTAATAGTGTTTTTTAGAGAAACCAGAAGAGTTTTGAAAGCACCAGCCAATAGATACACTTAACAGTGTGCTCTTTATGATAATACACTCCTTAGATGTTTGCCTAGAAAACAGCACCAGAAAAAATTGGTGAGAGTTTTCTATCCTTTCAGTCCCTAGGCAATTTCCTGGTTCATCCTTTTTATACTACAGTAAATAAATACACTGTATTTTTTAGTTACTCCCTGTAATATGCAGAGCTTCAGCTTTAATCTTCAACAGATTTAAGCAGGTTCTTCACAACATCTTCATATAACAGAGGGGAAAAAAAAGAAGCCTACATTCTTTATCCACTGTGCTTTATTAAAGATCACTTGAGTTATTCTCCTCACCAGTTTGCTTCTACATAAAGGAAAAAGGGTGGCATGCACATGATAGGCTGCATCAAACACTTACAGAAACTTTAAACCATTATTTGTGCAGATTTGGGTTCTACTTGCTTTTGAAAAAAGATGGGGCTTGGGTGAGAAAGTAAAATCTATCGTTTACTGTGATTGCTTTTCATATTTTTAAGCATTTATTCACATTAATTAATTAAAGATGTGCAGTGAAGAGTCTGGGAAGTTAAACAGCATTAGGACTGACAGAGCAGTAGACTTGTCCTGTTCAGCTGTTTCAGAAGGGCTACTTGCTGGACAGCAGTAACAAGTCTTGGGATTAGAAGATGGTATTAATTAATTGGTAAAGCAAAGTAGTTTTCTTGCACAATTTTTCATCCAAATATCTCTATGAAAATTAATCTCCTCCTCTCCATTCTCCTAGGCTGAAATATGCAGACATTACAAAAAAACCTTAATACTACCACTCAGCAATCAGAATCATGCATTTTTAAATAACAGCAGAAGCACAGAAGCAACTTTTGGTTAAAACTGTCTTTTAACTGAATGGAGCTCTGAATTTAACCTCCTGATTTGGGACCTTATTTCAAAAGGCAGGAGTGGATTTCTATTTAGTTATCTTGTGAAGTCAGTGATTACCTTCACCACGGAGAAGGCAGCCAAGCACACGGCTCTGTCATACTGTGACCTAGCCCTGCAGAAAGCAAGAACACGGCAGAGGCAAGTCTGCTCCAGAAAATATAAATATGAGCCCAATCCAGTGACATTTCAGGACAAAGAACATCACAGGAAAAAGCCTTCTCTCTGAGAGGTATTACTTGTTGATGACTACAGATTTTCTATCCATTTTTAAAAGTCATACACGCACAAGACTTTTAAAATGTGACATAACCGTTTTCATTTGTATTTGTGATGAGCAATTCCTGTCTTTGCCAACACAAACACAGAGAGCAGCCTCATCACTTGGAGCACCAATGGGTACAGAAGTGTGCTGTGCAATTTGGACTGTTCTGAGGTTCAGCTTGAGCTGAGCCTGGCTGAGAGCTTCTGCTTCCCTTCCAAATTGCTCTTCCAAGCACAAAATGTCAGACAATGAAATTTATGCACATTGTGTCAGCACTCCTCAGGCAACCCCATCAATGGGTACAGTTTTAGGAAATATTCACAGAGCACTGCTTCTCTCCTTATGATCAGCCAGGTTTGAAATCCTCAAAGTTAATTGTTGTAATTAATTATCAAAAGTCCACTTAATTTAAGCCCGAGGTGAATAGACTAGGGATTCAGAAGTGAAGCCATATTTTTTTAGTTAAAACATAGGTTCAAGATAAGCAAACAAAAAAAATCAAACCCACAAAAATCTCGTGATGCAAACTGATCCACAGCTATACATTATAAATGGAGAGAATGCAGAGTATGTATACACATAAGTCTTACAATATATAAGTTGTCACATAGGGCATTTTCTGTATATTTAGAAGTTCTGAAGCATAACAAGGATTTTTTTTTTTTAAATAAGAATCTCTACAGTTTGCACAATTAAATAACTGGTTTATTTGTTAAACAATAATGCAATGGCTGCCATAAAACTCATCTGGTACCTGAGATAAGCCTACTTCTTCCAAACACCATCATCCCAGACTGATAATGCTCAGTCTCCTGAGCTCAGCTGGGTGCAGAGCTCCTGTCTCCCTGCTCCATCCCTCTTGTCTCAGCTCTGCAATGAGTATTGAGCTCAGTATTGATTCCTTCAGTGCCGAGGATTTTTGTCACTTCTCAAAGTTTCCAAATGTACTCACACACAGACAAACATGGTCTCTTTTTCATAGTAGACAGCTTTGGGCTGGAAGGGACTTTAAAGATCATCCCCCAAGCCCCTGCTATGGGCAGAGACATCTTCCACTGGAACAGTGCTGAGGACCACAAACCCTCTATTTTTGATGTTCACATCTTTTATGCACTCTTGTTGCCATTTTCTCCTTTGAACTATTTTTCCTATCCAACACAGTTGCAGAGAAAATAAGTCTTATAACCATTAACTTAGGTCTTCTTTCTCCAGTGCCTTTTGGTCATTTAGACAATGCTCTCAGGCACATGGTGGGATTCCTGGGGGTGTCCAATTGAGTTGGATTTAGTTGTGGTCCCTTCCAACTCAGGGCATTCTATGATTCTGATATTATTTGTGTGTGTATCTCAACTGTGGCAGCAAACCTTGATCCAGGTCTGTCATTTCTTCATTGATCCTGTGAAGGAATCCACCTGCCAGCTACCACTGTCTTACTCCAGAATTCCAAGGCTTGTTTTAACCACTATATTAAAATAGATTCCTTGACTAAATGCTAGCATTTGATTGTATTTCTGATATTATTTCTTTAGGAGCCTCTGAACCTGTGGAAGACATTTACTGCTGCTGTCAAATTTCAAGTGTTAAGACAGCTCAACAGCAAAGACAAAACCATCCTGTTAACAGCACACTGACACTACCCCTAAAGCCCAAGTTATTTCACTGGTGATCATACAAAACCAAATGTTTACTGTAATGCCCTCCTAGGTAATTTCCCAGCTTACAAACACAATCAATGTTTAAACTATTCTCAGTTACAAAGCATTTTTAAGTTTTCACCTGATATGCTGCTGAAGGATGATGAAAAGCAGAGAAAAAAAGACCGATAACAATTCTATGCTGAATGCATCATTTATTTTATATTGAATTTATAGAAACATGAAACTAATATTCCCCTGGGCTGTGCTGAAGAGCTAAAGAACTCCTTGGTAAGCATGCTGAATATAGAAAGAATGCCTTTTGTAAAATTTTTAGTACAAACAGTACAGATTCCTGAACCTCTAAAAAGGTGATGAGTTAAATTCAGGTATTCCATTTGCAGCTAAGATGAAAATATAAGACAAAGAAATACAGATCTGCATTATTTTCCTGGAGACATTTAAAATATAGGACTCAGGTTAAGTCTTCTAAGTAACCTCATCCTGCACCTTTGCCTTTTCAGCCACAGGAACCCAAAATGTTCATTTTCATCATTACAATGACTTTGGACCATTTCCCCTCTAGATGGCCTCTGGCTGTAATCACAGCAGAAAGTTTCTCCTTCTTAGGGCATGTGGCCAAACACAATTACCCAAATTGCCTTGTATGTTCTTACAACTGCTTCCCTCAAGTATTTCAATTAAGATATGAGATCAAGTGATTTTTTTCATTTAACTTCATTAAAAACAATATTGTATAAAATTTAGGATCTATCTTGCTAAATATGGATTACCCAATATAGCTCTAATAATTATGCTTAGTTCCATAACCTTGTTCAGGCAAAAAATATAAATGGTTTTTGATCCATGTAGTCTTATAT